GCGATAATATCCCATTTATTATAACAAAGTACAAATTTATTTCAAATAACAACAATACATCAATATAAACAAAATATCTAAGATATAATACATTCTAACGACTTATAAAAGTTAAAAATAAAATACCTGTAAGAGAGACAAGAAAATCAATAAAATTTCAAAGAAAATACAATTATTATACATAAACGGTCATACCATTATTATTAAAATGTAAGATTAGGGAGAAAGAAGTCCATATATTTATTAATTACACTAATTACAACATATTTATCTCAAGTAATAGTATAATACATAATACATATAACGTATTTTATTAAAACAGTTTCTAAAGTCTCATAAAGTGAACACAATTACAAAAACAGGAAATTAATTAACAGTTTATAGAGTAAAAAGAAAAATACCTGTAAGAGAAAGAAAACAAATCACATTTACATGCAATGAAAAATCTTATATTACTTATAAACTGTTATATTACCATTTAAACGCAAGATTAGGGAGAAAAGTCTCCCTAACCTTCTGTGGCCTCCGCATCTCCCCTTATAGCCACCCTATCCACCAAAATGACTTTTAATTGTGAAAGTGTTAACAAATATTTAATTTTAACTTTTATGCCAAAAGATCAATTTAGAAACATTTTAACTACCATTCTAAGTTACAAATATATAATATAACAGTTCATAAAGTAATAAACAAAATACCTGTAAAAGAAAGACAAGAAAACATGAAATTTCAAAGAAAATACAATAAAATACAAAAAAGGAAATGATGTCTTCGTTCTTCTTAGGAAATNGGTAAATCGTCTGATTTCCCAAGCATCTTATGCTCTCCTAATACACATTTTCGATTTTCAAAGTTTCGCTGGAATTATTTCGTAATATGGCAGGCGCCTTTACCATTAATTTTTGACCTTAAATATGTAATTTGATGAACTACTTTTGCTTAATTTAATAAAAAGCAATATAATTAAGCACTGAATTGCTTTATTTTTATCAAATAATGCTATTTTATCTTAATTTAAGATATCATTTCTTAACAAAGATAAAGCTAACAAGAACGTATTTATTTAGCTCATTTATTGATATCAGGTATCATTTACATCATTTATTAATTGGTCATTGATATTAGACGTGATTTATTGATAAATTAAGCAAAACTTTTCAACAAGAGTTCGATTTTCGTTCGTATATATGAGTCGTTTTTTACCGGAAAGAACGTAAAAACACCATAAATAGTCATTTTTTGGCAAAAGTAAAGCAAGCGGGAGTCTCCTAGAAAACAAATAAAACAATGAATTAAACTTGAGGAATTAACGATTTTCTGTTAAAACTTTCCAGTTATCCCTCGTATTGCAGTTAAGGAATTATAGAATGTCCTTCGTATTAATCTTAACTGGGGCGACATCTTGCGGCTGGTGGTCAAATGTTGCTATATCAAATTTACAGTTTTCAACAGTATTACAGATGACTACCAGGTTGTCGACAATAATAATAACACTAAATTCAGGCGGTAAATCGTCTGATTTCCCAAGCATCTTATGCTCTCCTAATACACATTTTCGATTTTCAAAGTTTCGCTGGCAGGCGCCTTTACCATTAATTTTTGACCTTAAATATGTAATTTGATGAACTACTTTTGCTTAATTTAATAAAAAGCAATATAATTAAGCACTGAATTGCTTTATTTTTATCAAATAATGCTATTTTATCTTAATTTAAGATATCATTTCTTAACAAAGATAAAGCTAACAAGAACGTATTTATTTAGCTCATTTATTGATATCAGGTATCATTTACATCATTTATTAATTGGTCATTGATATTAGACGTGATTTATTGATAAATTAAGCAAAACTTTTCAACAAGAGTTCGATTTTCGTTCGTATATATGAGTCGTTTTTTACCGGAAAGAACGTAAAAACACCATAAATAGTCATTTTTTGGCAAAAGTAAAGCAAGCGGGAGCTCTCTATATCATTTATTGGTTAATCTACATCATCAGTTATCACTTATCGATGAATACAGCAAAAATAATTGGCACAAGTTCGAATTTGGTTCCCAAAAACGATCGACAGGTAGCTATACATGGGTTATTTTCGGGAACTAAAATCGAACACTAGGTCAAATTTTTCTCTTTATTCATTAATAAATGACAACTGATAACGGTAATTAATTAATAATTCATAAGAAGTAGCTGTGGCTAGCTTTATTTTTGCCAAAAAATGATTATTTATGGTGGTTTTACGTTTTTTTTTCGTTCATGACCGACCCACGTATAAGAATAAAAATCGAACGAATCGAGTTGAAAATTTTTGATTCAAGCAATTTAGCAAAAATTTTCAGATCGATTCGTTTGATTTTAATTCCTACACGTGGGTCGATCTTGACCGAAAAATTCGTAAAAAACACCATAAATAATCATTTTTTTACAAAAATAAAGCAAGCCACAGCTAGTTCTTATTATTTATTAATTAATTATCGTTATCAGTTGTCATTTACTGATGAATTAAAGAAAAATTTGTCCTAATGTTCGATTTCTGTTCCCGAAAAAAACCCATGTATAGCTACCTGTCGATCGTATTGGGAACCGAAATAGAACTTCGGCCAAATATTTTTGCTTAATTCATCGATAAATGATAACTGATAATATAGATTAAACAATAAATGATATA